TAAATGGGTGTTGAATTTTGTCGAAAGTTTTCTCTGCATCTATTGAGATGATCATATAGTTTTTCTCCTTCAATTTGTTAATATGGTTTATCACATTGATTGTTTTCAGTATATTGAAGAATCCTTGCATTCCTGGAATAAACTCCACTTGATCATGGTTTATGATCCTTTTAATGTGCTGTTGGATTCTCTGTGCTAGTATTTTGTTGAGGATTGTTGCATCTATCTTCATCAGTGATATTTGTCTGTAGTTTTCTTTCTTTCTGATATCCTCGTCTGGTTTTGGTATCAAGGTGATGGTGGCCTCGTAGAATGAGTTTGGGAGTGTTCCTCCCTCTGCTATATTTTGGAAGAGTTTGAGAAGGATAGGTGTTAGCTCTTCTCTAAATGTTTGATAGAATTCGCCTGTGAAGCCATCTGGTCCTGGGCTTTTGTTTGTTGGAAGAGTTTTAATCACAGTTTCAATTTCAGTGCTTGAGATTGGTCTGTTCATATTTTCTATTTCTTCCTGATTCAGTCTTGGCAGGTTGTGCATTTCTAAGAATTTGTCCATTTCTTCCAGGTTGTCCATTTTATTGGCATAGAGTTGCTTGTAGTAATCTCTCATGATCTTTTGTATTTCTGCAGTGTCAGTTGTTACTTGTCCTTTTTCATTTCTAATTCTGTTGATTTGAGTCTTCTCCCTTTTTTTCTTGATGAGTCTGGCTAATGGTTTATCAATTTTGTTTATCTTCTCAAAGAACCAGCTTTTAGTTTTATTGATCTTTGCTATCATTTCCTTCATTTCTTTTTCATTTATTTTTGATCTGATTTTTATGATTTGTTTCCTTCTGCTAACTTTGGGGTTTTTTTTGTTCTTCTTTCTCTAATTGATTTAGGTGCAAGGTTAGGTTGTTTATTCGAGATGTTTCCTGTTTCTTTCCTGTTTCCTGTTTCTTAGGATTGTGTTGCTGTAAACTTCCCTCTTAGAACTGCTTTTGCTGCATCCCATAGGTTTTGGGGCGTCGTGTCTCCATTGTCATTTGTTTCTAAGTATTTTTTGATTTCCTCTTTGATTTTTTCCGTGATCATTTCGTTATTAAGTAGTGTATTGTTTAGCCTCCTTGTGTTTGTATTTTTTACAGATCTTTTCCTGTAATTGATACCTAGTCTCATAGCGTTGTGGTCAGAAAACATACTTGATACAATTTCAATTTTCTTATATTTACCAAGGCTTGATTTCTGATCCAAGATATGATCTATCCTGGTGAATGTTCCATGAGCACTTGAGAAAAATGTATATTCTGTTGTTTTTGGATGGAATGTCCTATAAATATCAATTAAGCACATTTTGTTTAATGTATCATTTAAAGCTTGTGTTTCATTATTTATTTTCATTTTGGATGATCTGTCCATGGGTGAAAGTGGGGTGTTAAAATCCCCTACTATGAATGTGTTACTGGTGATTTCCCCTTTTATGGCTGTTAGGATTTGCCTTATGTATTGAGGTGCTCCTATGTTGGGTGCATAAATATTTACAATTGTTATATCTTCTTCTTGGATCGATCCCTTGATCATTATGTAGTGTCCTTCTTTGTCTCTTCTAATAGTCTTTATTTTAAAGTCTATTTTGTCTGATATGAGAATTGCTACTCCCGCTTTCTTTTGGTTTCCATTTGCATGGAATATCTATTTCCATCCCCTCACTTTCAGTCTGTATGTGTCTCTAGGTCTGAAGTGGGTCTCTTGTAGACAGCAAATATATGGGTCTTGTTTTTGTATCCATTCAGCCAATCTATGTTTTTTGTTTGGAGCATTTATTCCATTTACATTTAAGGTAATTATTGATCTGTATGTTCGTATTACCATTTTCTTAATTGTTTTGGGTTAGTTATTGGAGGTCTTTTCCTTCTCTTGTGTTTCCTGCCTAGAGAAGTTCCTTTAGCATTTGTTGTAAAGCTGGTTTGGTGGTGCTGAACTCTCTCAGCTTTTGCTTGTCTGTAAAGGTTTTAATTTCTCCATCAAATCTAAGTGAGATCCTTTCTGGGTAGTGTAATCTTGTTTGTAGGTTTTTCTCCTTCATCACTTTAAATATGTCCTGCCAGTCCCTTCTGGCTTGCAGAGCTTCTGCTGAAATATCAGCTGTTAACCTTATGGGGTTCCCTTGTGTGTTATTTGTTGTTTTTCCCTTGCTGCTTTTAATATGTTTTCTTTGTATTTAATTTTTGACAGTTTGATTAATATGTGTCTTGGTGTGTTTCTCCTTGGACTTTTCCTGTATCGGTCTCTCTGTGCTTCCTGGACTTTATTAACTATTTTCTTTCCCATATTAGGGAAGTTTTCAACTATAATCTCTTCAAATATTTTCTCAGTCCATTTCTTTTTCTCTTCTTCTTCTGTAACCCCGATAATTCGAATGTTGGTGCGTTTAATGTTGTCCCAGAGGTCTCTGAGACTGTCCTCAGTTCTTTTCATTCCTTTTTCTTTATTCTGCTCTGCAGTAGTTATTTCCACTGTTTTATCTTCCAGGTCACTTATCTGTTCTTCTCCCTCAGTTATTCTGCTATTGATCCCATCTACAGTATTTTTAATTTTATTTATTGTGTTGCTTATCGTTGTTTGTTTCATCTTTAGTTCTTCTAGGTCCTTGTTAAATGTTTCTTGCATTTTCTCTATTCTGTTTCCAAGATTTTGGATCATCTTTACTATCATTATTCTGAATTCTTTTTAAGGTAGACTGCCAATTTCCTCTTCATTTGTTAGGTCTGGTGGGTTTTTATCTTGCTCCTTCATCTGCTGTGTGTTTTTCTGTCTTCTCATTTTGCTTATCTTACTGTGTTTGGGGTCTCCTTTTTGCAGGCTGCAGGTTCGTAATTCCCGTTGGTTTTTGTGTCTGTTCCCAGTGGCTAAGTTTGGTTCAGTGGGTTGTGTAGGCTTCCTGGTGGAGGGGACTAGTGCCTGTGTTCTGGTGGATGAGACTGGATCTTGTCTTTCTGGTGGGCAGGTCCATGTCTGGTGGTGTGTTTTGGGGTGTCTCTGGACTTATGATTTTAGGCAGCCTCTCTGCTAATGGGTGGGGTTGTGTTCCTGTCTTGCTAGTTGTTTGGTATAGGGTGTCCAGCACTATAGCTTGCTTGTCGTTGAGTGAAGCTGGGTGCTGGTGTTGAGATGGAGTTCTCTGGGAGATTTTCGCCATTTGATATTATGTGGTCCTGGGAGGTCTCTTGTGGGCCAATGTCCTGAAGTTGGCTCTCTGTCCTCAGAGGCACAGTGCTGACTCCTGGCTGCAGCACCAAGAGCCTTTCATCCACACGGCTCCTCAATATGGGATAATTCGTTGTCTATTCATGTATTCCACAGATGCAGGGTACATCAAGTTGATTGTGGAGCTTTAATCCACTGCTTCTGAGGCTGCTGGGAGAGATTTCCCTTTCTCTTCTTTGTTCTCACAGCTCCCAGGGTCTCAGCTTTTATTTGGCCCCGCCTCTGCGTGTAGGTCACTGCAGGGCGTCTGTTCTTTGCTCAGACAGGACAGGGTTAAAGGAGCAGCTGCTTCGGGGACTCCGGCTCACTCAGACTGGGGTGAGGAAGGGGTACGGATACTGGTCGGGCCTGCGGTGGCAGCAGCCGGTGTGACTTTGCACCAGCCTGAGGCGCGCCGTGCGTTCTCCCGGGGAAGTTGTCCTTGGATCCCGGGATGCTGGCAGTGGCGGGCTGCACAGGCTCCCCGGAAGGGGGGTGTGGATAGTGACTTTGATGGCACACGGGCTTCTTGGTGGCGGCAGCAGCAGCAGTAGCGTCTCATGCACGTCTCTGTGGTCTGCGCTTTTAGCCGCGGCTCGCGCCCGTCTCTGGAGCTCGTTTAAGCAGCGCTCTTAATTCCCTCTCCTCACGCACCAGAAAACAAAGAGGGAAGAAAAAGCCTCTTGCCTCTTCGGCAGGTCCAGACTTTTCCCCAGACTCCCTCCCGGCTAGCCGTGGTGCAGTAACCCCCTGCAGGCTGTGTTCACGCCGCCAACCCCAGTCCTCTCCCTGCACTCCGACCGAAGCCCGAGCCTCAGCTCCCAGCCCCGCCCGCCCCGGTGGGTGAGCAGACAAGCCTCTCAGGCTGGTGAGTGCCGGTCAGCACTGATCCTCTGTGCGGGAATCTCTCTGCTTTGTCCTCTGCACCACTGTTGCTGCGCTGTCCTCCACGGCTCCGAAGCTTACCCCTCCGCCACCTGCAGTCTCCGCCCGCGAAGGGGCTTCCTAGTGTGTGGAAACCTTTCCTCCTTCACAGCTCGCTCCTACTGGTGCAGGTCCCGTCCCTATTCTTTTGTCTCTGTTTATTCTTTTTTCTTTTGCCCTACCCAGGTACGTGGGGACTTTTTTGCCTTTTAGGAGGTCTGAGGTCTTCTGCCAGTGTTCAGTATGTGTTCTGTAGGAGTTGTTCCACGTGTAGATGTATTTCTGGTGTATCTGTGGGGAGGAAGGTGATCTCCGCATCTTACTCTACCGCCATCTTCCCCTTGTCCCGTGAAGTCAATTTTTAAACATTTTGATTGTGTTGAAGCTAGAGAGTTGAAGAACAGTTTATTAAGCTTTGACTATATACACATGTAATGGATATATTTTGCAATAATGCAGTTGTAGTGCTTAGCTTACTATTAACCTAATGAGACTGAAATTTTAAGTGTTGGTTTAGTTATTTCGAACCTACAGCTTTGAAAACACATGAAGATCATTTTAACATAAAATATATAATTTAAAAATTAGACAAATCTCCGCCATACTGCACTTTTTTTTCTCACCTCTTTCCTCATTATTGTTATTTGTGTAATTGTCAAGCCTTTGGCAAACTGAGTAGCTCATATATGTGAGTCAGCATATGTGTGTATTTATACGTGTACAATAATAACAGACATTTAATTTTCTAAAACATTCTCAGCAAAAACATTGTCAGATGTATTGTCATAATGAGATTCAAATTTCCGAATCTTTATTTTATTTCTATTTTATTTTTATTTTACAGATGTAGAAATGGAGGCCCAAAGGTATTAACTAACTTGCTGTGTCATATAATTATTTAGTGGGAACCTAGATCTCTACTCCAGGTCTTCTAGCTCTTAAAGTCACTCTATTCCCAGGTAAGTTATTCTCACATGTTTATTTTCTCTCCCTTGTTCTCTCATATGTCATAGAATATGGGTATTGATTTATAATCTTTTACATTTTTATAAATATTAAGATATACATCTTAATATCAAACACATAAAAGTACCTGTTTAAAACTAGACAATTTATATGCCATTTGAAAATGAAATATGTTTGTTCCCAGGTGTAAGTTACTCTTAATAGTTAAACTATTAAGATTCTGTAAGAATACAGCCACATGAAATATTTGCATATCTGCCTGTATGTAGTAACATCATATATTTTAACACTCAGCTCACATGGTTTTCTAGGGAATTTCTATTCCCTAGGGAGATTATAAGGTGTAGAGAATGACCAAAAATATCATATCTAGACATCATTTTCAGTACATTTTTAATGATAGGAAGAGTAAATTAAAAGTAGAAGTGTAAAAAGTAGAGTATGTTGGGGGCCTTAGGAAAGAAGTGATTGCAATTGTAAACCGAAATGAAACTCCTATCTGGGAGAAAAGTAATTTAGCTTCATGAATGGCTATACCTCAGAGGGTTAGGCATATGAGCAATTAAAATTAAACAAGTTGATTTTAATATGCCTTAATAACTGTGATTGATCTTACAGAGCTGTTGTTGACTATACATCAAGAAACAATTTAGGATCCAGTTTAAAATAAAGTTTATAATCCTCGTTTAATGGATTTTGGTACCTCAGGCATTGCAGTGCTGTAAAAATGATTAAATTGTGCCCTGTCTCTGTGTAATCAATAAAACCTCTCTCTAAAATTAGTTAGGTTCCAAAGACTCCTCAGCAGACTTGGCGTGCCACGTCTGTAGAATTCCAAATAAGCCATCTATCATTATTTCCATACACAAGGTTCATTAGACACCTCCTTCTTTATCTTATTAGCACCAAAGTCAGCTAAACAATCAAACCAAAAGGTCACCTTTAACAATACCTAGTTAAACCAAAACATACCTCAAGACGTTATTAATACAATACATCAAAATGCAGAGATAACATTGTCTAGATGGCCAGTGAAAGGTTATCATTAAAAAATGAAAATATCTACATTTGTTAATTTAAGAAAAAAAATTTAAGTGTCAGCTTAAACAGATGGATTTATTCTGTTATTGAGATTGGTGGACACAAAAAGTTCTTGTTAGCTGCATTATTTAAAAACATTATTCCTTTGTATATTATGAAATTGAAGTTTTAGTTTTTATGAAATGATGGACAAAATCAATACCTTTGGAGTTATTTTAAATTCTTCTTAAAATTATGAATCACACAGAGGTACATGTTTTCTGAATTCTTTTTTTTTAAAATCACATTTTTGTCACTAACATTTTATGAGAGAGCTCTTTATTTTAAAGGAGTTGATGCATTCAAGGGCATTTTATGATTTCTATAGCTAAAGAAATTTAAAGTTTAACTTCAATGTATATTAAAGTTCTATTCACCTGGTAGTGTATTTTCTTCCTTTAAGTGAAACTAATGAGAAATATATATAAGCTCTGAACATGTACTAAACTTATCATCCAGCATTCATTTTACATGAATAAAATGATAAATTAATACCTCTGTATATGGTCATTATTTATAATTTACTCAACACTCTTTTATTTTACTCTGATTTTATATACTCAGATAAACATAGTGGTCAATAGTAAATTAATTCCTACATCGATAATTAGAATGTATGTGGGTATGTTGCCTGCTTACCTCAATCTGATGTCCTTTAATTCTCTTTTCTGATTGCAAAATAAATTAATAAATATTTATATTTCTCTTGGATCAATTTGGGGCTATAATAAAATATTTTGATAACTATTAGAATGAAAAAAAATCTCTTGTTGAATATTTGTAATAACTCCTCTGAATGCTTTGTCATAGCTATGTATATGATGAATTTGAAATATTTATTGGTGGCATCATGTGCCAGACACTGTTCTGTGAACTTTATGGCTCTTATAATCTCTCCCAAGTCAGCAGTGTAGTTTTACTGCCATCTTTATGTTTATTTCCACTTGTTACTTTCCGATCAAAATGTTTCCTCCTGTCCTTCCCAAGTGCCCCATTCCCACTGCCACTGGGATATATCACTTAATTAAGAAATGTAATTTATGATAATATTAAAAAAGGGTTTGTTTTTCATTCACACTTAGGGCAATATATTGGAAGATATAGGAAGAGAAATGTGACTTTTCTATGCTATTTTAAAGGAGGTTTTAAAAGAACAGATATTGATTTACAAAATAATGAAGAGCTTAGGAGGACAAGAGGCTTAGATTTCTTAAAATTGATCTAGAACATTTTGGAAAATCATAGCAGAAAAAGCATGATAGACATCACTAAGCCCGATATTCATATTAATCGAAATCAGTTGAAAATATAAATAGACAGATGACATAGGTCTTTCAGTTTTTGTTGTTTTTTCTTTTTAGGACTTAAGACTTGCTTTAAAGAACAGACCATTATATGTTGAGATTATAATATTATGGCACTGGGTGTAATATATCAAATTACTGGAAGATACTGAAACGTTTCTAGGTAAGTACCTTGGGTATTCAAGTATGTAAAATTAAAGATGTGAAAGAATATTTGGATTCAATGTTAACTTCAATAATCAATAAAATAATTATGACTGATAACAAAGGGTATTATTCTATAGAAATAAATGGCTGGAATTACTGGTAATAAATCTAGGAAGTAACTGCGTACCACAGAGAACAGCACCAGACTTCTTTCAGCTGCTTGCATGGGTTGTGTTTTTTAAGGGACACGATCTTTATGATTTCTTTCCTTCTACTAATTTTGGGTTTTGTTTGTGCTTTTTTCTCTGGTTGCTTTAGGTACTACATCAATATACTGGGCTCCAGTGTACTGGAGTCCCACATTCCTTAGAACAGCTCCAGTGGTGTAGCAATATTTAACCCCAAATCCATGTCCTTCACTCTTTTTTCCCCCCATGAGTGTCTTAGGATCAAAATGATGCCTCAGCTATACTGTATTTGGGCAAACCAGTGCCTCTTTTCCATGACTACTTTATGGGTTTCCAGCTGCCTGTGTTTAAGTGAGTGTACTGTGATGCGATAAACCTATTTCGAGTGCTAGCTATGTGATTGCTTCCACATCTGTAAAAGGTAATAATACTTATCTCAAAAAATTGCTTAGAGGAGTAAATGTAAACTGCCTAACCAAATATCTGGCGCGTATTAAGTACTCAATAAATGTTAATTATTACTATTATAGTTAGCTCCCAAATTGCTTTTTTAAGGAGTTTATAGCTATTCGGGATGCTTATTACTGTGTGAATACTGCCTCAAATTTTGCTTCACAAACAGTTTTACTGACAGGTAGTAATATTCAACTCCATTTCACAGTAAAAAAAAATAAATTTCCTTTTTGTGTTAAGTGGAAAAGAATAGGAGATAAGGAATCCAACAGAAGGAAACTGCTAATGACACAACGACTGGCTGCACTGGGAGCAGAGCTAAAGGGGAGGTTTTAGGAGCAAATGTGTCCCCCTTTTGTTTCCACCTTTTTCCATGAATCCTGCTAACACAGGCTTGCCCTGAATGGCAAAAGGGGAGAAGGGCAGGGGTTAGTGGTGGCTCCTGGCCGTGGTGTGCTCTGCGGCTATCCGAGGGCAGGAGCAGTTGCCAAGAGAAACACCAAGCCCTGTAGATGTAGGAGGAATGTTTCTATCAGCCACTTACTTAAGGTTCCAATACATTTATTTATGTATTGATATTTAAAATATTTGTTAAGTACCTGTGGCTGGTATAGATCATGAAAAAATAAGACAGATTACCCGTCCTTAAGAGGTTCATAATCTAATGCTATAGACAGCCAACTAAATAGAAGTCCAGGGTGTGATGAGAGTGCATAGTGAGGCCATGAGGAAGGCACGGGGCGGAGGGTGGTGGGGATGGTGGGCAGGATAGGCTCGTGTCCGAAGGACTTAAGTTTGTGATACTCTCCACTTAGAAATGCCAGAAAGGTCATAAGATCTATGATGGTTTTTTCTGATAAACTAAAAAGGACTTGTGGAATACTTCCCTCTATAATCCCTCCAATCCAATAGAATCACAGCTTTTGTAGGATGAAGCAAGACAAGTCAAAGTTTAAATGTTAAAGAGCATATATAATGCCTGAGGGAAAATGTAGGAAATCTGTCAGGAACTGGTTGAGAGGAGCCATGAAGCACGATTTCAGTGTAAGGGAAACATTTGAAATTACCCTCTTGGGTCATGGTACTAAAAGAAAAATAAACTCTAGTTTTCAAAAATTCAGAGGACTTTTCCTTTATAGTTTTTAATTTTTTAAAAAAATTTTGGACTTTTCCTTTTTAAATAGTAAGTTTCAAGATATTTTTTCCATTTTTCTCAATGCCTAAGTTCTAAGTAGTACACTCTATGTTTATAAAAATACACGAAAGTCATAGGTTTTACTTAACTTGGGGATGGAGGTCTTATGTTTTTTCTTTTTTTTCCTTGACAGGCAAATCTTTTCCCCAATGTTTGGTGTTGAGCATTTACATTTTCTTTTCCATGAGGAGAATTAAATTTGGTAAGTCCCATTATCTAGCCATGCTTTTAAAATGAGATGCCTTTTGCCAAAGTGAAGTCATTGAATTTTTTTCTAAAGAGAACTGCAGAGCAAATGTTGTCATTCCTTAGGGTGGCTGCTCTCAGTCCTATGCTCTTGCTAGAGTCATACCTGGTGGTCTCTAGAGATTCTCATGGGTGAAAGGATGGTAAAACCTGCTTTTTCAATTGAATAATTCTCTGCCAACCTATATTGGAAACAATTAAACCCTGCTTAGATATCAAATTATACATCTTTCAAGTGTTTCTTTTCCATTTGAAACCTTAGGGAAGGAAAAGTGGGTAGCTAAAGACTTATGATTTCTTTGCTTGAAATTGTAGATCTAATCATATGTAAATAGAAGGAAACTTTCAGAGTGAATAAAACTATTGTATATGATTTTTAAATTCCTAGGTTTTAATTTTTTTAGCATGAGAAATGTCAAAAATACTTAATGAAGCAAGAATAGGATGGAAATAGAAATGCTAAAATAATGAAGATTTTACCACTTTTGCTTTACTCAGTTGTTGTTTGCTTATTTCTTTGTTAAAGTATTTTAAAGATCATGGCTTTTGTTCGCTTAACAACCTATCTGGGTAACCACTACATATCAGTTTATATAGATGTTATTCATCGTTTTTCTGGCTGCATAGTACTCTTTCATAGAGATGTACCATAATTTATTGTCTTCTATGGTTGGGCATTTTGCTTGTTTCTAATGTTTTGCTATTGGTGATGAAATTCATGCACTTGGAATACTGTATTTTAACAGGTGCATATGTCTTCTAGATAAATTCCTAGAAGGATTCCTAGAAAGATTCTATAAGTTATATTGCTTGTTCAAATGCAAATGTCATTTTGGGTATTGCCAAATTCCCCTCCAATGTATTTTCTGTTTGCCTTGCCAACATAGTGAGTTGTCAATTATTTAAATTTCTACCACTGTCAGGCAAGGAATGACATCACAATATCATTTTCATTCACATTTCTTTTATGAATAAAGCATTGGATATTCCATGTGTTTAAGGAGATATTATCTCCTAGATTGTCATTTGTATTTTATTTCATTTATTATTTTTTCTTTCTTTTCTTTTTTTTTAACTTATTTTATATTGAAGCACAGTTGATTAACAATGTTGTGTTAGTTTCAAGTGTACAGCAAAGTGATTCAGTTATACATATACATGTATCTATTCCTTTTCAAATTCTTTCATTTGTATTTTAAATTACTTATGATGTTTCTTGCAATGACTTAAGAAAAGTCATAATATTACTCTCATGTCAGTGTTTCTGGATTTGGCATCATAATGTATTTACCTTTGTTTTGTTCTAATGCTTGTACATATATTTCTTTTTCATTTAATCTTTGAGTCACTTGGTATTTATTTTGGTTATCATATGAGTTATGAATCCATGTTTTTGGCAAATGTTACATGTAGTTTTTGGAAGACGCCTTTTGTATCAGGTTTAGAAATTTCCCTTTTATTTATAGTTCACTGAGAGTTATCATGAATGGGTGTGGATTTTATAAACTACTTTTTCTGCATCATTTGATATGATCATGTAGTTTACCTTTATATGTTGTTAATATAGTGGACTATATAACTTAATTTTTGGATATATCACTACCCTTGCATTCCCAGTCAAAAACATACTTTATTGCTAGATTTTATTTGATTTGATAATATTTTTAAGGAGTTTTATATCTAGTCTATAGTTTTGTTTTTTTCCTTCTTTTTGTACTGTCTTTTAACTTTTTCTTTTTTTTTTAGTACCAAGGAAATACTCATTCCATAAAATGAGTTGAAATGTGTTCCCTTTTATTTTCAGGAAGAAATGGTTTAGAACTGGCCAAGGTTATTCTTTATTGTTTGATGAAATTCTCTGTTGAAACTCTCATAGCCTGGAGATTTGTTTTTTGAGAAGGTTTTTAATTGTGAGTTTAATTTCTTTAACAATTATAATTCTGTTCAGGTTATGTATTTCATCTTGGTGAGATTTGGCAGTTTATGATTTTTAAGGAATTGGTGCAATCCATTTAAGTTGTCAGATTTATGTGTGTAGAACTTCTTCAACCTGATAATGGAGATTTTAAAAAACACCCACAGGCAACATTATATTTAGTAGTTTCCTAACTTTGTTAATTAGTCAATGATAACTGCCCTCACAGCTTCATTTGTACTAATGAGTCTAGGTATTGTAATAAGACAAGAAAAAATATATACTTGAAACGATAAGGGAGTTTAACACATCTCAGGGTATAACATTAGTATATAAAAATAATCTATTTTTAAATACTAAAATAAGTGGAAATTGAAAAAAACATTTACAATCACATCAAAAACATGAACTACTTTAACAACAGATATACCAGACTTGTATATCCAAAACTATAAAACATTTCTAAGATAAACTTAAAAAGAACTAAATAGATGAAGAGATATCCCATGTTTATAGATCAGAAGAAGCAATATTATTAAGATTTTTTGTTGCAAATTTATCTGTTGAGTTACAGAAATTCCAATCAAAACCCAAGCAGATGTTTTTGTTGGTATTATCAATCTGATTTTAGAATTTATATGGAAATTATAATGGACCTAAATGTAAAACCTATAATTCTAAAATTTCTTGAAGAAAACAGAGGAAATTCCTTGGCTTAGACAAGGTTTCCTTAGGACACAAAAAGAATGAATCATAAAAGAAAAAAATGATACATTTTGCTGCATCAAAATTTAAAACTTTTCAAAAATATTTAACAAAATGAAAAGATCACGTAGAGGCTGGGAGAAAATATTTATAAACATGTTTCCAATAAGACTTGTATTTGGCATATAGCAATAACTCTCAAAACTCAATAATTAGAAAGCAGTTAATCCATTAAAAAAGTCACCGAAAGACTTGTACAGACACTGAACCAAAGATGAAAAATGGCAGGCAAATAAGCACATAAAAAAGATGCTCACCATTATTAATCATTAGGGAACTGCACATTAAACTACAATGAATTACCATTAAACACCCATTAGAATAACTCAAACAAACAAAACAAAAATTCAAACAACAACTTAGAATACCCAGAGCTGAAAAGTTGCAGGTTCATTGGGTCTATCATGTTGCTGGTGGATATGCAATACTGTACCATCATGTACATAAATCATACAACCCAGAGATCCAACTCCTAGATATTTACCTGAGAGAGAAATGAAAACATATGTCCACACTAAGACTAATTTTTGTAGCAGCTTTATTCATAATCAACAAAATTTGATGTATTTATTATCTATTGATGTGTAACAAATTGCCTTAAACAGTGTTTTAGAACAAAAATGGTTAGTATCTCATTTTTTTGTAGGTCAGGAATTCAGAGTGGCTTACCTAAGGGGTTCTAGCTTGGATCTCTCATTTGGTTTCAGTCAGGGTAATGGCTTGGATGTGTTGACCTGAATTATTGACTGGGGTTGGTGGATATAGCTTCATTATGGTTCTCTTACTTAGCTGTCCAGCTGGTGTTGGATGTTAGTAAAAGGCCTCTGTTCCTTACATTGAGACCTTTTCTATAGGGATGTTTAAGTACCCTGATGGCATGTCAATTGGGAAAGATGGACCAGGATGTGATTTTAAAAAAAAAAAAGGAAACAAATTATCTTCCCCACATCTTAACTAATTTATTACCATGTTATTATTTTATTTAGAAACATACATCAGGAGCCTACTATGTACTACAAACTATGCTAGATGGTAGAAATAGCAAAATAAATGAGACACAGCTCCTGCCTTTAAGTACTTCCTAGTGTGGTGGAAAAAGATGGCATATAAACAAAAAGGCAGGAGGCAGAGTTCTTAAAAAACACCTTTATAAATTTATTAAATATATGTTTTTGTAAAATGTTTTATCACTGATGTAAGCATATAACATGGTTCCTTTTATAAAATAAACACCAAAATACTATTAACTTAACATACAAAGTTTTAGATTTTCCACAGATATTTAAAAATCATTTCAAATACATTTATACTTTTAGTGTAGAAATTTAGAATCTGATAGGGAGTAAATATCCATATTTTTAGAATTGGAAGTTCCCATTTTAATAAGGTTGCTTATCCATCTCCATAAAAAGCAGGAATGTCTTCAGTGACAATCTCTAAACATAATGGGAAAATAATCTGTGAAATTTTATGGTAGATCCTTTATATTTCCCTGTATTTTTGAAAAACCCCTGTTAAACTATAATATACATGTGGAAAAATGCACTTATTATAAATGCAATTCAAGGAATTTTGTCAGTGTCCCCACGTCACTAGCAATAGATCAAGAAACAGAGTGTTATAAATACTCAATAGCACCCTTGTGCCCTCTTCAGATTACTTCCCTTCCCCAACGGTAATCTTATCCTGAATTCTATTGGTATAGAGTAGTTTTGCTTGTTTTTTTGATATTTACATAAGTTAAGTCACACTGTGTGTACACTTGTTCTCGCCATTGTCATTTAATGTCAAGTTTGTGAGATTCATCCGTGGGCTATATAGCATTTTAGATCATTGATTCTCATTTCTGTGTATTCCTTGTGAAAAACCACAATTTATCAGTTCTGCTCTTGTGGACATTTTGAGTAGTTTCAAGTTTGGAGATATAGAAAAGAGTACTGCTATAAACATTTTATTGCATGGTTTTTGGTGCACATTTCTGCTAGGTATATACAGAGGAATGGAATTGCTAGGTCTTAGGACAGACGTATGTGCAGATTTAGTAGGTACTGCTAAAAACTTTCCCAAAGTGGTTATATATATTAAACTTTTTTTCCTTTTGCTTGCTTCTCACACCTTTCCACCAAAATGCCAATCACAATGTAATAAAGCAAATACGAGCACTGCGCAAAGTAAACTATAAGAATAAAATTTCTTGGGCTTCCCTGGTGGCGCAGGGGACACGGGTTCGTGCCCCCGTCCAGGAAGATCCCACATGCCGCGTAGTGGCTAGGCCC